TGCTCAAAACTACCAGGAAACAAAGTTAAAAAAAAATACCTAAAATGTCTTGACAATCAAGGCAAGTATAAAGACAGCAGCTTACCACTTCCCTCAGTTTAGATGTTTCCAGGATAAAATAAAGAAGCATATGAAAGGAAAATAGGAAAACACAGTAACATTTTTACTCCAAACCACCATCTATGCAGGAAGAGGGCAAGCAGACTGAGGGGAAAAAAAGGACACTATTTATAAATGAATAAATGAACACTATTTAAAAGCGATGGGTTTTTTTTTTTATGTACATTTCCCTTCCTTGCTCTCTGATCAGTAACAAAATTCCTTACGTATAGCAGAGGTAACAAGCAGAAACATACATAAGTAGAAGAATAAACTTTACAAAGTTGCTTGGAGTGCGCCCTCCACCCATGCCAGTTTTAAGAAGAAATCAAGATTCAGTTTATAATTTCTGATTAAAGGATGATATAAAATCAGAATCACAGACACAAATTACTCAGCCCTATTGACTTAACAGCCTGATATTTTTACTGTTTCCCACTACCAATCAAACAGACTTTGAATAATCTACATTAACTCAGTAGTAAAGCTTAGGGTTTGATGGTTCAAACCTGTTTTTTCTATGTTGATGAAAAGGAACAAGAATTTGACCTGAAATGGTCTGTATGGTTCATCTCTGGTTAATCATATGCTGACCTGAAATGGTCTGTATAGTTCATCTATGGTTCATCATACGCTTTCCATCCTAAGGGAACATCCTCTTTTCAACAGGAAACAAGGATCAGGATAGGAAGTTGGTGAACTTAGTTTCCCTTCATCTAAACCAATTTATCTCAATGGAGTAAGTGGGAAAGCAAGAGATGAATAAAACCTATAGTAAAGAAAACAAAATAAAATTATCAAGAAGCATATGTTCTTGCCATCTCAAAACATACAAGCTAACATCGCAGCCAGAAAAATGTTGTGCTTAACCACAATACTATGTGCAAAATGAAAATCTTGAGAGAAAACAAGTTTTTGCTGGTAGAAAATACAGCTGCCCTACAGGGAGTCTGAAAGATCACTTGTTTTGCAACTAAGACAGCAGAAATAATCCAATGGAAAGGAAAGAGAAAAGGAAAGAAAAAAGGAAATACTTCGAGTTTTATTTGATCACCTGTGCAAGGGATGAGAATAAATCAGAAATATTACCTAATTTCTGAAGTCAAAGAGGGTACACTTTAAAATAGTCCCCTCTGGTAGCCCATCTCTTTGAAAGGTACAATCACAAGACCAAGAGATTCTGTAGGCCTCTGACAGACATTCAGGTTAAGGAGCAATGAAATCTAAGCAGGCATCTCAACAATCGTACTTCCTGCCACGGCACATATGCATAAACAGGATGCACGATTTTGGAATTAAGGATTAGATCTCTATTGTGCCTTACTTTTCAGTAAATAAGGAGCCTGTGACCATAATCCTGGACTCCCCCTGCACCTGCAAGTTGAAATTTAAGTGCTGACAACCAACTGATTATCAGTTGGGGCCAGAGACTGAATTAGGACCTGAAACCAGCCTGTCAAGTCCAGGGCTCCAACTGACAATCAACTGATTGCTAAAACTGCAGCTTGGGTTTTTAAAGGTCCCAGCATACAGTGATGCCAGTATTTGGCTGTTGCAACCAAGTCCTGGGGTTCCTGTGCCCAAGGAAGAGTTAAAACCCTATGTGCTGCTCAGTTGGGTGGCATACAGGATTTTAAAGTCCCCATACAGAGGGACTCCAGGATTGGGCTACTGGGACAGCTGTGTCCTGGACTCAACTGAGTGTTGGGATGGACCAACCAACCACGTGTTCAATCTAAAGCATGATATTATAGACAACCACAAAGCTGTTGCACTTTATATGTTTGATAACTTCGTGGCTCGTTTACTATATTATCATACCTTAAATAGATTTAAAGTGTGGCCAAGTTACTAGTTAACCTGTTAATCTATCTTAAATGTAATGTGTGTTGGGCCTCAACAATCTCTCTTTTTCTAATTATGTTTAATTCATTTGCATTTTCCCCACTTCTTTTTCAGCCAAAACTCTAAAAGACATGGTGGGAAAATGGAAAGATAAAATATAGGGCATGAGGCAGAGGACTTGAGCATAGGCTCCATGGTTCAAGTTCAAAAAGAACAAAAGAAGGAAGAGAATGAGCAGGAACTTCTAATGGCTCTGCCTCTTTCACAGCCTACTAAGTGGCTAAATAATACGTCTTTCTAGAAGGAATTTTATTGAAGGATGGAGGAAGTGGTAAAAGAGGGAGCTTTCACTTACAACAATAATTAAATTAAATCTAATCAAACCATTGTATTATTTTCTGCTGAAGGCCAATATATTTAGCATCTTTTCCATGCATAATAAATTATATTAACTCTAGGCATTTTTAAAATGTTGATTTGTTAAAGATGTTCAAATATTCAGTGACATTCCTTATAGTATATTCAGGTAAATTGTACTGCGTACATTTTGCTTCTTTGCTTTTGAAAAGACTACAGTTATGCTAGTAAATTTATTAAAAAATAAATAAAAATTACATACCTTATCTACTAACATGTCTGCCACACACGGTTTTATTAAGATCATCCTTAATGCAGTGAACCACATTATCCTTGGCTGGAAGTTGCAATTTTAGATGCTTAGCACAAGCCTTCATGATTTCATCCAATTTCTGACTACCCACAAAAAAAGAAAACTTTTGGTTGGCACTAAAGTTCTATGTCTGAAGTCATAAAATTACCAACAAATAACCACAATTTTAGAAGGCTCATAAATTAGCTGAGCAGAGTAGCCATATCAAATGCATTTTGAATATATTCTTCTGATATTTTACTACATAATTAAGCTGCACAGATTGTAGGATTTAAATAATATCTGGGACAGAACATCTAAGTGCTAGTTAGAAAAAACTTAAAATACATATTATTTTACTAACCACATATTATTTTGGAAATAATTTATATATGAACTAAATAGATGAAGAAAAAAACCTTTTTTCTTCTATTGACTTCATATAGAAGTAATTATAAAATGTCTATAATACAGTTTTCCCTCATGAAGAAACCATTGTGTTTGGATAAGCAGATCTATACGTCAGTCAAGTACCATCATCCAAGTAATATAATGGGCTCTCAGAGGTTCACGTTTCAATCATATATCTAAAGTTAGTTTTCTTTTCTTTTGTTGAACACAACACAGACCTTGGTTTAAAATATTCAGGTATACTTTATTATTTATTTAAAATATTTCAACTCATGTTTGAAGATGGAATTTAGCTTCCCAAATGCCTTTGGAAAATTTAATTGTTGGCCTTCTTCTCCAAATATTTAGTAATGACATTTAGCATCAGCTTTTCTGACAGGGATTTAAAAATATAGTGTTTTCATAACTTCTTCATGTGGGATTAGAATTTAAATTTTAAAATTGTAAATGACTGGCTGAAATATTTTCCAGAGTGTAAATCATGCCCTTCTTTGAGGGTATGAAGGTAAGGAGGAAAACATGAAAGACAAATACATTAAGAATGGTGGTACTGTAGCAGAGGCACAATTTTCATGCCAAGTTGGGTCAGTTTTCAAAATGGAAAATTGGGAAAATATTGAACTATTGTATACAAGTAGTTTTATACTGTTATATATGAATAAATGTCGGGAAATAATGAGCTTGAGTGGGTGTGGGTATGTACACATGCACATGTGCATATACATATATACATACACACACACACACACACACACACACACACACACACACACACAGAGAGGCAAATATACATTGTATTTGGAATATAAGATACATAATTTATTAGATATATACTAGATTATTTATTAGATCCTTGGGCATACTGAGTGTATATCAGTGCTTGGACTTCTGTTACTTAGAGCATATCACACACATCACACATGGTACTACTTAACAGCTTCTTAGTCCAAATAATAATCCTTGTAGTCTAAAAATAGGGGTTCATAATGGAAAGATAAAGACATTAGCTAAAACCGTGCGTATCAGCATCAGTATAATAAGGATTTCTCATCAACTCCTGGTTTATGTTATATTAACATATGAAAAAGCTATTTAAACATTAAAATTAATACATCATAAAACAATAGTAATGCTTCATGCAAAATAGTTTTTTTGAATCACAACTACTCACAATAGCTATGAATATCCCCATTCAAATTGCTATCATGAATATTGTATAAAATGAGAATAAACTAAAAGTAAAATTAGAATACTTCTTTATAAATTACTATATGTCAAGCTAACAAATGGTAGACTTGTCATATTGAACAACTAAATGTCTAAATGATCATTCAGCACTCATAGTGTAGGGAAAAAACACTAGCTTTGTTGGCTATAAAGCAGTTCCTCGATTTTTCATACTGTCATTCTGCTCTATTAGCAAAGCCTAACACAATTAGGTATGAATATGCAGTAATAACATGCAAATTGTTCCCTCACAATTGCCCCAAGGCAGCAGTCTCAGCCTTGCGAAGCTTGATTTCTTCTACATCATTACAGGCTTGGCATAATTCATCAGAATAAAGAAAAAAAAAATAGCTCAGCCTTATTGCATGTGGCCAGCTAGTAAAATCATCAGTAGTTGTTAACCATTCTCCCTCAATAGGTTTGTTAGCAATGCTGTCCCCAGCTCCCTGCCACTCCTGCACTTGTACATGTTTCCCTTGGGTAATGTTAGACACTACATTTGAGCCTGCCAGAACAATTAACCCTACTGTTAATTAGAATGAAATGTCAGGCGCACAGATGGTACAAGCTGGCACCCTGCCATCCCGCCAACTGCTGCTGAAAGCAGCTACCCCACTGCTGACAGCTGTTCAGCCATGTCCCAAATCAGCAGATGTCAAAACTTTCCAGCTGAGGAAAGCTAAAAAAAGCAAAGGGGGGGGGGGGGGGGGGG